GTACTGATACCAAAACAATACTTTTTTGATAATTGAACTTTTAATCTTTTAAAATTTTAAATGTTGTCTAAACCTGTGAGTTCATGTTTCCCTTTTCTTTCAGGAACACTCTCGGTGCTACAGCGACTGCTCCTTTACCCACACAGAGAACAACCGTACGCTGACCTTTGACCTCAGCCCCATGAGCGTTGTGGCCTCGCTGACCATCGGGCCAAGTTTCACCTCTAAAGGCACAAAGTACCTTCATCTGTTCAACATCAGCTTGTGTGGCCATGAGGTAATTCACATACACTTACATTAGTTACTAATTTAGTCCAGTTTGAGAGATTTGTCAGTATCACTCCTTCAAATCTTTTCTTCTTTTTAAACTTTGACTTAACTTAACTGGATATTTTTTTAGGAGCCAAATATTAAACAAGTCAAATTCTTCCCTATAAACTGTATGGTTGGTAATGTGTCCCATGTGACCAACCACAGCACTGACTCATTTATAAATTGACCCAATGATGGCAACATTGTTATTAGAGCTTTTTAACTGGCTTTTATTTGAGTTGTTTGTTCATTTGATACAGTGAAAGTTTATTTTCCTTTTTTCCTTTGGGTTGCATATCTTATTTTGTTAGCCTGCTGTTGTGTAGTTTAAACATGCACACACATACACACACACACGCTGCATCTCCATTCATTACTCATGACTTTTAGCTTTTATTTTGTGTATTGTGGTTATATTTCCACCAGACTACCAGCTACAAAATAAAAGACAGTTTCCATCTTGTTTTGAATATTATTCGCAATGTGAAATCACATTTTCTTCACACGCAGGCCTGTCGCCACAGTGTGATGAAATGATTTTAAAAAGGCTGCAAGAAAACATTAAGCGTAACCATGGCAACTGACAGCTAATTTCCATGCTGTTTGCATGCCTTGCTTCAGGGGGAGGGAGCTGCTATCTGCACAGATAACGTCACCGACGTGTCCAACAAGGACGCCCAGAGCGACTCGGCTCAGTTTGTCAACTCAGTGGACAGCTTCATCTGTGAGTCAACCATTATCCCAGCAGATGGGCGGGGCTTCAGGATGGCCATTTCCTCCCAGTCCATCAGCCTCGCAGACACCTTTATCGGTATGACACTTGTTAAATGTCAATATGTGGCACTGTGATTATTAGCCGGTAACGTTGGCGTTATCTGTATCTGCGTGTCTTTCCAGGAGCAACAGTAGACACCGTCCTGGATGGCGTGAACGCCAAACCGGATTTTTTCCCGGAAAATTCAAAGGATGTTCCAGACATCAATTTCTTCTACAGGTACGGTATGAAAGACAGAGCGTGTGTATGTTTTTGTTGTGTTTAAGTCCTAAATGTGTCCTTATTGTATTCCAGGTCAACGCAGGCGACGGCCTCATGTGATCAGGGTCGCAGTTCAGTCATCACTGTCCGTTGTAACCCTGAGAAGTCTGAACGAGGAGAACTCTCTGTGCCCAGGTCGGTGATTATGTAATCTATGTATGAGATTGTGTCATACTGGAACATAAGAAATTAGATTATGTGAGAAAATGAAATCTGTGTGTGTGTGTGTGTGTGTGTGCAGCTCCTGTCCTGCAGGAACATGTGATGGATGTACGTTTCACTTCCTGTGGGAGAGTGCCAGCGCCTGTCCACGCTGCACAGAGGACGACTACCACCAGATAGAGGGAGCGTGCAAAAGAGGCGTCCAGGTAACACACACACACCACACATACTCTCCTTACTATCTTTAAGGAGACCTGCATTAATTCTATAACATCATCCTCACCTAAAAGTAATCCAAGGGCTGTGTTCCAATAGTTTCAGCTGAACTGTAATGTTAGATAGCTAACGTAGCACCACAGAGTTCCTCATGCTACTAACCTCAGGAATAAAACAAAATACACACACTTGTTTTCTTGCCTGCTCCGTCATTTGATTTATGAATCTTTCTCCCTCCACTCTCTCCAGGAAACCCTGTACATGTGGAACGAGCCAAAGTTGTGCACCAAAGGCGTAACGTTGCCTCCTAGACGCTCCTTTCCGTGTGAGGCCATCGCTCTGTGGCTGAAGGTCGGGGTTGGCGGCGGAGCCTTCGTGGCCGTGCTGCTCATCTCTCTCACCTGCTATTTCTGGAAGAAAAACAAGAGGTTAGAGGCACCTGCCAATCAGACACTACCACCAACCTCAGCCAGGGCCAACATACTCATTAAGATTACCTTGAATTGTTATTTAAAGGCAGAGATGTCAGTGGCTGTTTGTCAGTGGCAGCAAAAGCTCGGATTGTTTCAAGATGTTTACAGTATTAGAAACACTGTCAGAGTCAGCTAACAGCTTTTCCAGTTAAGAAAAGTAATCGCCTTCAAACACGTACACCCTGGATGTTGTCTATCTGAATCACATGCTGTCTCATGATGACGGTGTCCCTGTGGTCTGTGGTCAGGCTGGAGTACAAGTACTCCCGTCTGGTGATGTCTGCCAACAAGGAGTGTGAGCTGCCAGCTGCAGACAGCTGTGCTCTGGCTGAAGGGGAGGAACCTGACGACGACGTGGTCTACACTAAAAAACCCACCCTGCTGGGGAAACTCCGGGCCATTGCTAACAAGGTGTGTATTTCACTTGTTTATTTAGTAATGTATGGCATGCTTTATTTCCAATAATGCTTTACTTTAGTTTCAGTCTTAGCTTCATCTCAAATTCAGTCTCCACACACAGCCATTTCAGTTGTTATCAATCTTTCTTTACCTGTTTTAACAATTATTTTAGTCTCAGAGCTTCAAGCCTTCAGTTTTCTATCGTTACTGAAACTAGAAAGAAAAGGGCATACAAAAATAACACTTAATTGTTAATAATTCTTACAACTCATTTAATTTCAACCATGTATTGCAACATTAATTGCAATGTGTTAGTTTCGCAGTGAGGCTTAAAGTCTGAGGGGGACATAAATTTGTGTACAACAAAACTTTCATTGGAATCCATCTAATGGTTGTCGAGACCTGATCGACTCAACGACTGCAAAACCAATTCAATTCAATTTATTTGTATAGCGCCAATTCAGTAAACAAAGTTATCTCAGACACTATCTCAAAGAGCAGGGCTGTAGAGCCGAAACTCCGGTCTGTCTTAACATTTGCAGGAGACCCAACAGTAGCCACCATGAGCAAAGCACGGTTGGCAACAAGGGCAAGGAAAAACTGCCTTTTAACATGGCAAAAACTTAGGACAGACCCTTCGGGCTCAGTAGGTTGGTGGTCATCTGCCTTGGAGCAAAGCCAAAGATGGTCAACCTCATGGGTGGCGCTACAGGAAAACAGTCAGGAGATCCACCAAAGTAATTAAGATTCTTCCTCTGCGCACCATGGAAGCATCTGTTACAAAACGTTCTGGCAATCAATTGAGATAATTGTTGAGATATTTCAGTCTGAACCAAGAGTGGTAGGACCACACAGATCGAGCGTTTCGATCGCCCTGGAGCCCTGCCTGTGACGCATGTGGCCAGCCTAGTGGAATACCTCACTCCTCCAGGGCCAATTGTCAAATGCGATGAGTTTTGTTGGCTGCAGCAGAACAAGTGTGCTGAAATAAGCGATGGTCTCGTAATATTTTATTCTTTCAGCACGGAGGTGGGAGAGAGCAGGCGAGTCTGTGCAGCTGACACGTCCTCCAGTACTGATCGATGGGTCCTTGGGATAAAACGAACACCGTCAGGAGAGAGGAGAGAGGAGAGAGTGTAAATCAATGAGGAACCAGTCCAGTCAGTGAGCCGCGCGAGGTGGTCGACTAACAGTGCCGTTCGATAATTCACTTTCATGTAGTCCTGTGTTCGCTCACCACTCTTCCTTCAGATTTTTGTATAGAAGAAAGGCTCGTGAGAGACACCCCCTTACAGACCTTCGTGTTCGCTCTCTCTCGCGTGTGGGCAAATAGTTTGACACGAAATGGTGATGTCTATAATGGCAAAACAATTATAAGAGGTCTTCGAAACAAAATAGGCTCTAAATAATCCAGCTCTTCCTCCACACTCGCGAACATTTACGCACATCTTCACGCTGGGTGAGTGATAAAGCTAGTAGCGTGTTTAAACACTCCATATGTCGCAGGACCTAGGCGCGTGAGTGAGTAGCGAGGTTAGGCATAATCTTTATCTGGTACTCTGTTCTGTTCAAACAACTAATCCGTTATCTGGATATTCGCTGTCACTGCTTTTAATGGATACGCGCTGTGTTGTAGATGGTGTGTAGCATGTAATTTATGTGGATGTGATTCTACAATTGATGTAATTTAGATATGATCTACTGTTAGGAACACAGATATTTCTGTAAATGTTGGATATATTTTTATTCATGTATACAGATATTTTGAAGTCGCATGATAAGTGTATTGATTACCTTGTTATTAATCAATACATATATATGTGGACAATTACCTTTTCTCCCGCAGATTAGTCGTGTTGTTCGGATTATGCTTCGTGAATAGTGCAGAGGTGTAGAGGATGTCTTGACATACCCTTTACCTATTGGTCCCTTAAAAGCTACTTATATTGTTGATTTTTAACTTATTTTTTGAATTATTTATTTCTGTTTGTTTTTGGACGAAGAATCAAACATTGTGAATGCATCACTTTTATGACAACTTAAGTTAAATTGCATCGCCCCAAGTGTCTACATTGCCATGTGACATACATTTTATCTCTAATTTTTAAGAATTGGATGTAATAATAAGTAAAAATAAGGCAGATTAACCCATATGGGAAGAATAATCAAAATACAGAAATAGTTAAATAGATTTAACTACAAACGTAAAAATGTTTTTATTTTTTCTTTCCTGCCGTTTATATTATACATTATAATAGCGATAACTATATGATAATGTAGTTATTATTAACGTCACATATGGGGACGTTATGGTGAGTACGTAGTGGCAACATGTAACCAGCCCGAGAAGCAGGAGTGGGTTCCTGTGTATTATAATCTTAATGAAATTAATTATCAAATGTTGAACTGATCGAGAACAAGTGCCCCAGGCGCGACGGGTCTATAGAGAGAGACGGATGGAGGACACGATGCAGCAATGTGAATAGTGACTGTACAGACTGTATAAGAAGCCGACCAATATACAAACTACAAACAGATGCCTGAGAAAGTAGACGAACAGTTTCATAGGTAAGAGAGCAGGAAGGATTAAGTATATATCTATGAGAAATATTACACAAATCACACATAATGCATAAACAATCATTTTACTTAACACATCCTGTCATCTTTTTATTCAACCTTTCCTTTTCTTGATGTGTAAAAAAGTATAACAAACTGACCAAACATAACAGTGACCTCTCTCTCCTCTCGTCTCTCTCACATCAATACACACAACATACACAACATCAACACCACACAACTCGCCTCACTTCATAATTCATACGTGCATAATTATATCAATATCATATACTACCCTATACCCAACCACATCCAGCAGCTAATCCTATGGATTGATTCTTTCATGAAACAATTTCAAGCCGTTTATTCACAAAATTCCCTATTTAAAATTTGTATGCAATTGAAAATTAAAATCTCCCATTCAAAATACGCAATTAATATAATCCTCATGAAAAATAACTAAACCTAAAAATCCTTAAAATCATTCATACCCAATCAAACATAGACTTGTGAAAAGAGATAGAAAGCATAGAGGGAAACTGTGCAGACCC